TAATAAATTTACATATTTAGAATACTTTAATTATTTTGTCGATACTGTAATACGAAACATTGTGTGTGTGTGTGTGTGTGTGTGTGTATTTTAAGCACATTTTTATTGACATTTTTATTGAAAAATCTCCAAGTTTTCTTCAGACCTTCATTCCAATAAATACTCGAAATAATCGTAGCATTTACACACTGATCATAAGTATAGTGTTATATGATGAGATACATTCATCTTTTGATCACTCCATAGATTCGATGTGACATTTATTCATCGTCCTACCTCACCAAGAAGGTCAACTTCATTCAAATTTTTCAATATATGGTTTACCAGTTCAGCATTATTTCTCTTTCGTACCATATATGCGTTTATTTTATCATTTTGTATCTAAAAATTTCCTGATTTTATAGAATTTTTTCTTCTATTTGAAGTTTTTTTGTAGGAAAAAAGAAATTTTAATTATTTCCTTTTTTTCTTTTTTTTTTTAAAAAAAACCGCCTTATTGATAAATAGCATAAATTTTACTTGATGTCCGTCGTTTCTCCTTGGTAAACGTTCCGATAATTGCTCCATATGTTCATCATTTCTTCCTGATAAACGTTCAAATAATCGCTCCATTATTTGATCCTTTGGATATAACTGAAATTTTCATTTTTATTTTAAATGATCATATAGAATAGCTATTGTAATTTATTTATCAAATTTGATATGCAATAATCAATCATATCAATTAGAGAAACATTTGTCATTAATTTGTCAAACTTTAGTAATTAACAAAACTATAATATTAATGTATCTTTTATGCTCCCTAATCAATAATTAGATAATATTTTTCAGATATATTTTCAAATACAGATTTTTTCAAATAATATTTTTCTAATCATTCAATCATTCAGATTATATTTTCCTTAATCAATCATTTGATTGATAATTTAACGTTTAGCCGAAACGATAAGTTTGATGTTTAGAGTTAATGGTCGAAATGATAAGTTTGATGTTTAGAGTTAATGGTCGAAATGATAAGTTTGATGTTTAGAGTTAATGGTCGGAATGATAAGTTTGATGTTTA